TCACATTCTCTAGATTAACCTTCAGAGACTTTGACCCTGACCATAACACAAATCATATCATTTCTTATAACCGTTCAAGGAGATCCAGAATCCATTCAGCTTCCTTGCTGAATCCCAGACTTGATCTTCACATCAGTAACCACCTCTGCAGCCTCAATTTCTGAGAGGTAATTCATTGAATTCTCTTGTTAACTTGCAGCTAGAGGAAGAGTTTGTGATGGACTAGAAAGACAAGTAACTTTTGAAAAATGTCAGCTTGCGAACAATCATGTTGAATACCCAACCAGACTGCATTACCTTGAGATTTCTCAAGCTAAACCAGCAATCAGCTGTAGTCAGCCTAGAAGCAGCCCTGTATTAGGGAGAATTTTGCAAGTCTTATTGTGGAAGACATCTACAAAGGACCAGGGAATTACTTAGGCAGAAATGTACGAAAGGGTTAAGAAGGGAATTATTGCTCCCTTTCTTTGGCTAGTACAACTCTCTGGTATGAGATTTAGAGATCAATTCTTCTTGTTCTGTGTTCCTAAACTGTACAAAGAAATATTGTGTTTTGAATTATCACATATACTCAATAAATTAATAGTAAACTTTTCATTAGGAAGTCATTGAAAGCTTTAATCTGTTGTTTCCAATACAAAATTCTGGAGCAATTTTAAGTAATCATGTGATACCTACAAAAAAACTATGTAAGCAAAATGAAAACTATTTCTCACTTTTAACCAACCCCATAGAGAGCAGATATGGGACGTGTTACCCAAACTGGAACTTTAGTGATGAGGGACATTTTTCTAGGCTTTTGGTTTTCATTGCCACATAGTATATATTTCAGCCTCTGAGAAAAACACTTACTCCAGGGAAATTCTTAGGGAGAAGAAGGGAGATTTCTCAGATATTTATAGCCAAAACATTTTAAAACATAGGTAGCTATATTTATCCTTGGCTCTTATTTTAATAAACAGCAAGCACTATTGTCTACAAAGAAATTTTCAGTATCACTTCAAAAATGAAATATTCTCCTCCTCAGATGCACGGCTTTTCTGTTTTAATAAAGCAGTTGAGTTTCAAAACCATTGCAGAATTTGTTACAGCCTACAGACTTGCTTAGAATTTGCCTCTTCAAATCTTTACTATGGTGCTTTAAAATATTTAAAAATCTACTCTTGCCAAAGAAGCTAATGAGCCAACTCCAGGAAAGACTGTGAAGAATACTCCTACTGCTCAGCAACAGCAGAAATGTCTTACAATTCTGGAGGCTGACAATTCCAAGATCAAGGCAGCAGATTTGGTTTCCGGAGGATCTTGCTTTCTAGTTCACAGCGGCTACTTCTTACTATGTCCTGATGTGGCAGGGGGAAGCCTCCTCAGGCCTGTTCCACAGAGCACTAATCCCACCTGTGAGTCTTCTCCCTCCTGAGCTGACAGCCTCCCTGAGGATCTCTCCCCAACACTGTCACCTCAGGAGGTAGGACTTCAACGTATAAATTTGAGGAAGAGGGGATACGATCATTCAGACCACAGCACCCAGAATGGATGGAGCTCAGGAAAGTGCTCTTGAAACACACATCCTGCGGCACTCACCTGCACTGGGATAGGCTCTGACATACCTATGGGTGGATTTGCTCCATGCTCCAACATAAATGTAGCAACAAGCCACAAAGGTTTCTCTAAGGAACAGCAGCAGCAGCCTAGAGGAGGCTTCTCCTCTCCCCCACCTGCCTAGCACTGGCTGGGCTTCTCCCATGATTTCGTCTCTCATAGTGGATCATGAACGCAAGGGCACATAGGTTTCATAAAACCAGTATTTTAGAAAAGCACCTGCTGGAAGATGGGAAAATTCTATTCTAATTTCACTTTTATAACTAACTGGTTGTTTGATTGTGGCAAAGTACTCCTGCAGTTAAGGCCAAGTTTCCTCTTTTGTAAAAGGGAAATGGTATGGTGGGAAGGAAACACACACGGAATGTCTACTGTGCACAAACATGCCACAGAGGCTATGAGTGATAGGCACAGGGAGGGCTGCCCGCAACTGCGGTTACTGATGAGGAGAAGTAAGTTCTGAGAGGAAGCAACTTGACTGGAGCTTTATGTTCTCGTGGTGATAGATGCCAGAACTCTTAGTACCAGGCTTTCTCTATCCAACCTTGTTCCATCCAGAATACCAAGAGGTCCATGGATTTTGCCCTTGCAGCTAGGCTTCCAGGCATTGTGAAGGTGCCTTGTCAAGGTATGCATATTTAAAAGGATTAAAAGTTTGTATCAGTGATGTGTTTCATACAAATGAATTTGGAGCTGAAAACTCTCAGATGTTTGGAATAGCTCTAAATATTAAAGTGATTTTGCTAGAAAGAATTGTGATTATCAAATGCAGGCATATAATGCCACATATAGCTACTCTTTGCAGGTTTTTAATGTCTACATAGCTCTCTCTCATAGGTGATCTCACAGCATCTTCTTAACCACACATTATAAGGCTGAGAAAAGCTACCGTCCATGTAAGTTGGGTGTTTGTAGCCATTGGTCCTGAGCCCCACGTTTCTTCTTTCTAACTCACTTCTGATTTAAGCAGCAGCTGTGAGGTGACTGTTTCGTGAGAGTTCAGAGTCACCTTCTACAGCCAATGCCCACCCCCAAGGTCACGCTGTGCTCATGTCCTGTTCCTAGCACCAACACCCCCAATTCATGCATCCGCATCCTAGAAAGGACAGAAAGCTGGGCTCTCAGGAGAATCCCACAGATGGCAGAGGAGGACAGAAACCAGTGAGTGGTGTGGGCAAGTATCAAGGCAAGTTTCAGAGAGGTTCCAGTCAAATCAAGGCCCCAGGAAAGACCCTGTCACCTGAACACGCCCTCCCACCCCTCCAAGTCCTGCCTGTCCCAGTCTTTGCCTTGGGCTCTGCTGTGGGGACACCTAAAGACATGAGAAGTGCTGGGACTCAGGGAGGATGACTTGCCCAGAGCCACACAGCTGGGGGAAAAAGAGGTTGCACTTTCTCCCGGGTCTTCAGGGGTTGGATCCACTGATGTTTCCTTTTTTTATTTTCAACTGTGTGCAAAGGTTAGAAAGCTGCCATTTCTAGCTTTTGTCAATAACAGGAGACACAAAAAACACTCTTTAAAGACACATGTTTAAGTACAGAATTAGTTGTAAGTGGTAACTGCCTCTTTGCTGGGGCTACACAGATTATCTGCTAAGCTCTGTTCGAATGGTGGCACAATTTTCAACATTCTAAAGTATTCCATTTTGGCTTTGTTGGCGTTGTCTAATTTACTTCAGTAAATTATAAATGTTCTGTTTAACATTTGCAAGTTCATGAACTTTTAGTGCTGCCCATTTCAGTGGCATTAGAATCAGGCTAGAACTTTTTCTATCCTAAGCATAATGCAGGCTTTGCCTACCAGGTCCGTTCAAATACAGGCTTGTAGATTATCTCAAGGAAGAACATCAGTCAGGGCTTTGTTGGACCCCCCACTCTCACCTCTCCTCCTCCTGCCACTTCTCTCTTCCCCACTCCCTTCCTTGGTGCCCATCTGTCCCTTTCCAGAAACTGTGCCACAATTTCCTTTAAGGACTCAACCCTCTTGAACCCTCAGTCCACACAGTAGGTGAGAATTAGTTTCAAAGCCTGCAGTTTGATCAGGTCTTAACCAATCCACAAATTTGCCCCACCCTGGCCCCACACACTGACTCAGAAAATGAAAAAGGACCCCATCATGGCCAGTTAGGAGTAGTATCAGGATTTTGCTGGATCCATGCAACAATAGCCATTTTTCTTCCAATATGAAGCTAAGCTAGCACACTGCCAGTCTCAAGTGTCTCCTGGACATTTTGCCACTGGCTGAAAAAGTCCACACAAAAAGGAATCAATAGGGCAGGGAGGGGGATAGAGACAAACTGACAGGGTGACCCAGATATGGGGTTTCCTGGATTCAGATTTGGCACTGAACTTTAGGATCACAGGAACCAGTACATCACTGCCTCTTCTGTTCCTTTTAAGCCTTTAATAAATCCTACCTAGTGCAAGGTGTATATGTACACAAGCTCTTAAAAGTCACAGGCAGCTCGGTCCTGAAGAAACACACATCTGTTTTCTACCCCCAAGGAGTGGGCTAGGAAGTCAGGCAACAGAAGCAAGACTAATCAGATCCTGCCAGGATCCTCTGTCTGAGCTTCAGAGAGCCTCAGGAATGAGGTGCTCCCTCAGTCTCTTTATGAATCCACAATGCAGCTTCCTATGAGCCCCGTTATCTTTAATTCAGAGGGTGCCAACCGCCCCTGAATTGTTTCAGGCTCCCTCCTCATCAGCCACAGCCTCAATTCAAAATCAAACTACAGATTTCAGAGGAAAGACCTTAGATTGGGAATTCCTTTTGTACACCGTTGTCCTCTCTCCTTTCCTTCTTGACTCCCTCCCTGCCTCTCCACCTCCCTTGTTTCCTTTAGGTAAAATTACACAGTATATTGAGAATCCATGTTTTTATGTCTCTAAATTATGCCAGAACATCCAATCATTCTTCTCACTTCTAACAAGCTGGATCACAAGAACTGGAGAGGTAACTTGTGGCGGGGAGCGGGGAGTGAAATCAGACCAAGACACTTGCCCTAAGGAAAGAGGGATGCAGAGAAAAAAATGCATTGTGGTTTTTTTTTTCGAGAGAGCCCCTCCCCCCAAAAAGAAGGCATTATCAAATATGTACTTCAGATATAAGGTTTCAAAGCCAGAAAGGCAAATTTCAAGCTTGAAATGTAGGGAGGCTTATTGGTGCCTCACGTGTTTTCAGCGCTCAGAACAGTGGAAGATCAGTGGAGAAGAAGATAAGAAGGGACAGGTTTACCAGTTGACCAAAGAGGTGTGGGGACAGGTGGTGACCCAGATGTAAATGTGGCCTCCAAGCCTTTGACCCTTAAACACCCATGTGGTGGAGGCTTAGAGATGACTCCCCTCATCTTAATTCATGTTTGGAAAACTAAGGTGGCCAAATTTGGCACGCACACTTACCTGGTGAATTCCACAGAATAGTAGCGAATAGGGGAACTTCCTTCAGTCTCTCCAGGTTTCCAAGAGAGGGCCACCCCGGAGTCAGAAACCACAAGGACACGAGGCTTCTGAGGCGCTGCTGGAGGCAGGCAGGGATCTAGGCAGGACAACAAACACAACTAGACCTGGCTGGTCGCCTCAGTCATCCGAGAAGCTGAGTACGTAAAAGACGTGCCCCTCCCATGACCAAGGCTCTCTGTTCAGAAGAACTTCAAACTCCAAACCAATAACTCACTTGACACAGGGGAGCTTGTCTTCCCCTTTCTTCAAAGAACCTCAGCTGCAGAGGTGACAGAGTGAGGACCCGCAGTGCACGGGATGGAGTGTTCCCTTCAGCGCCTTCCCTCAGACCTGCACCTCCTAACACCTTCTGCTCTTTGTCTGCCTGTTAGAATTGATATGTATGTGCTCTGGAGGAAAATTAAGTGTTCACCCTTCCTGCCACTTACTTTGTAACTCTTTTGTGTGTGTTTTCTCCTGCTGACAAGGAAAATACACAGCCATGGAAAGACATCTGACAATGCCGTCCTCCGGGAGGTGTTGCTGTCACCCCCAGGAACCTGTCCAGATTGCCATACCTCCCAGTTTTTGTTCACATTGTTGCTTAGGCTCAGAAGATTTTTCTACCTTCCGAGCATTTTACTGTTTCAGATTGGGAATGCTGACTGCTCTCCTATCCCCACACCAAGAGCCCTTCTGTGCGGGGACTGCTGTCAACATGTTTGTGCAACAGTGTCCTCCACAGTGCCACTTCAGTGACAGTTATTGCATCCCTTCTGCTCATAAACTGAGCTGTATCTTCAGTCCTTTTAAATGCTTAAAATCTTGAAATACGGTCTTGCTAAGTCCCTAACTTGCTTAAGTCGGGGTTAAAATTGCTATTCTCAGCACTGCCTCAGCCTCAGCCTCTTGGAGTACTGGAATTATGTATGCAGCACCACACCCAGTTAACTTTGGTTCTCTCTCCTCTTCACCATCTTAATTCCTACTCATCTGTCAGATCTCACTTAAGTTTCTATCTCCTCTGGGAGCTCTCCTCCTCCCTGGGTTGTAGCTCTGTGGAGAGCCGTCTTTGTAGTTTGTGGATATACACTGATCGCTGACTCTACCCCACATTGCACTTACACTGGTTATCCTCATGTTCCCAGAGCCTCCCATAGTGTGTGGCACCTGATAGCTCCCTACTAATAGCTGCCTTACGAAAGCATGAATGAATAGCAGCCTGTCATCTTCCTTCAATGAATTGGAACCTCTCGTCGTACCTTGGGACAAAATGGTAATGTGGCGAGCAGGGCTGAGCCTCCCTTTGGCAGTGTGGCTGTACGCTGCTACGCTCACTCGATACTCAGCACCTGGCTTCAAATCTCCAATCACTTCCTCCTGTCAACAACCAAGCAAAAAAAGTGCTAGTGGTGAGATTCCCTGTTGGGGCCAACTGTTCAGTTTCCATGCGATTTACATCTTGAAGACCCTGTGAAGTTGGTTGGGTTAGGGCAAGGCGCAGATAGTTTTGTTTTAACTAGAATTGGCCCAGTTTTAAAATTTGCTAAAAGGAAAACACCCTAGTGTATTTCCCAAAACTGGACGGCCACTGTCGATTGGCACCTACACACCGCCCTAGGGCTGGATTCATCCTCACTATCAGCTACTGCTGTCAGCATCTCAATTCCTTGATCAAGGTCCAACATTCTGGGATGCAGGCAATGATCCTTCCCAAGTGGGAATCCCTCAGCTTTTTCTATTTGTGTACTCCAGATGCTCAGGGACCAGTTATAATGCAAAAGAATGTCTTGATTTGCGCTTGTAAAGTAGGGACTAAAAGCAAAAACAAGTGAGCTTAGACATGTGTATGTACTAGTGCCCCATTCCCGAGATGAATATGATTATCTTTTATTTTAAACATGTAATTATAAAGAGAAAAGATAAACAGCATCAGAATCACCACAAGGGCTTTCTTAAATCAAATTCCTGGGCCTGCTCCAGTACTTCTTGGGGAGGGCCCAGGAATTTACATTTCTAAGGAGTTCCCACCCCAGGTTTTCAGCCCAGCTGCTGGCCCAGGCAGGGACCACCCATTGAGTAGGTTCACAGTGGGTGGATATGTGAAGTCCTGTGTACAGAGGTTCTGATCTGAAAGCCCAGCGAAGAGGATTCTCCACCTTCAGCTTCAGCAAAGGTGGTATGCTGGGCTGGGGATGGAGCTCAGTGGTAACACGCTTGCCTACCATGTGTGAGGCCCTGGCTTTGAGCCTCATGCCAAAAAGCAAAACAGAACAAAACAAAAAGAGCAAACAAATGTCAAGGTGGTGTTCAGTAGTAGGTGGGAGCCTGCCCTCACAGGGAGAAGCAGCAGTGCACTGTTGTAGAAAAGACACCAGTTCAGGACCTGAATCTTGATTTTGTTATTTGGTACTAGGTTTGGCCTTGATGTTAAATCCCTGAGTTTTAGGTTCTTGCTTCATCAATGGGCATTACGTTCAACCATCTTGCAAGACCATGTGCTTGGTAATAATATATGCACAGTAGCTGGCAGGGAGGATATGCTCAAGCAAAGGGTTGTAAAAACCCAGGTGTGGGTGTGTTCGGATGCTCCTCTTCTGCTTATCTAGATTCTCCATCCACTCCAAGACCCACGCCCTGCTCCTGAACCTGACATTATACGTATAATTAAAAAAAAATCATTCCTGACACCAAAATCCAAGACTTCTTAGACACAGACATGACACCATGAATAAAAAATGTTCACACCTGCCTGTGCATGGCAGGTCATAGTCAAAATACAAGTGGACTAAAAATATTGCATAAAATCACCTGTAATCTATGTGTATAAGGTCTACATAAAACGTAAGTCAGTTTCGTGTTTAGATTCAGTCCCACCACCAAGATACCTCATTGTATATACATATGCAATTATTCCACATTCCAACAAGAAAATGAAATGAAATATGAAATATCTTGGTTTAAGATGGTGCAGATAAATTCAACCTGCATTACGCATTTTTGCTTTTCTCTTATGAGAGTGGAAGCCACTAGAGAATAGGCACGACAATGTCCTCTGCAATGACGGAACATCCCTGTTACTAAAGACCTGGACACTCAAAATATTGGAAGCATTCAATAAATAATTGTCAAAGTTTATGGGCTGGGGAGATAGCTTGGCTGTCTAAGTGCCTGCCTGGCAAGCGCAAACACCCGGGTTCCATCCCTGGTACCACATGCCCGGCCAGGCCCAGAACCCCAGGAGCACCGTGCTGGCCATGGCTGTGCACACCTATAATCCCAGCAGGGGGAGGTTCTGACAGGCGGATCACTATGAGTCTGAGTGAAGTAGTGAGATCCTGTACCAGATAAATAAATAAATAAATAAATAAATAAATAAATAATATTTTAAAAAAATATAGTAATTGTCAAAGTGTAATACACTTCTTTTTTTTCTTTTTCCTAACCCCAACTCTAAGCCTTATTGCAGTAGTTCTTAAACCTTGACTGCATCTTAGAATCAGCTGAAGATCTAAATCAATCAATCACTTAAATCAGAATTGCTGGGAACAGTTTCCAGGTGTCTCCTTGATACGCTCCAGGTGGTTCTACATCCAAGTTCTTTGTCCTGCATCTCGGGTCTGTCTCACAGCTACTGCGTTTCCCCATATTTACTTTGCTCAAATTTCTCCCCCTGGGAGAACAGCCTTTCCTCTGCCTCACATGACGCTTTGCTCTTCTCCTCACAGACCACCTTCTTGAAGAACTTGTGTCCACTTCCTCACCTCCTTGTCATGTTTCCATGTGGCTGTCAGAATATTGCAATATTCCTACCAAAGTCTCCATAACAGCACTGTAGCCAATGCAGTAGGTCTATCTCAGTTTCTATGACTCTCTGCAACTTTCAGTTCTGTTGTTGCTTCTGAGATCCCTTGGATTCCTTGGAAGCAGTGGCTGTGATGCTTTTTGGTCTCCTATCTCTCTTGTGGCTGCTTTTCAATATTTACCTATCCTCTACCCACTCTCCTTTTTATGTTAGTCTGTTGGTCTTTCCCATCTTCTCTTTCCCTCTGTAGACTCTTGTGCAGACAAACACTTCCACACCTGACCTCGTGGCGATGCCTCCCAAATCTGCACCTTTAGCTCTAGCCTGCCTTTCAATCTCGGCATACATTGACAACTGCCTCCTCTCTATGCACTGGCTACCAGTCACTCAAGATCAACATAACCAAAGCTCAACTAATGATTCTCCCTCCCAGTAGCAAAAGAGAGCTTAATCTATTGCCTGAAATTCTTCATACTGTCCTCTTCTACCAGTTCCTCTCCAGTCCTAAGCATTACCCAATCAGTTACCAGTGGAGCTGATGCCACTCTCTTTGTATCATTTGAATTTATTTACATCATTGCAACCTTACAGTCATATAAATCCAAGTCCTCATCGTTAAAGCGGTGCTTTCCTCTGCCACAGAAACGCCCTGTACAAGTTCAATTTCATATGCTAAAGTTACATTTTTACCTTTCAAATCTGAGCATCCTTCTATCCACTTTACAGTCCCTTAATGTAGCCTATTTATGTTCTTCTGTTTATCCCTCTAGCACCAAGCCCTGCCATCTCCCTTCCTTGCATTCTACATTCCAGTCATACTTAAAAAGTTGGCAGAGTTCAAATTTATGCCATTCACTTCCTTGCCTCTGGGCCTTTGAACCTGCTATTTCCTCTACACAAGATGCCCTTCTCCCTACTCTCTCCTGGCTCACCCTGCTCATCCTTCATCACTCAGTTCAGCTGAGACATTACCTCACTGCTCTAACCCCATCGCCAGTCAAGTTAGGCAGCCTCCTCTGTGCTTCCTTGGTGTCCTTGATAAACCTCAGTCTTAGCGCCACTCACCTTAAATTGTAACTGTCTGTTTATCACCTTCTCCCCACTCACACAAGGACAGAAAGCAAGTTCTTATTCTTCTGGCATCGCAAAGCTTAGCATTATATTATCAGACATATAGCAAATACTCATGCAATGTTTTTTGATGAATGAATAAATGTACTGGAGTGAAATGAAAGGAAAAAAAAATCAAGAGCCAAGACGACCCACAAAAACAGATTAGCTCATCAAGAAACCAGGTTCAACCACTGACTCCTCCGTCATATTCAAGAGCATCATATCTGCTATGAGTCAAAAGTGTTCCCACAAAGAACACATGCTGGAACTTTAATCCCCAGTTAAATAGAGTTGGGAGATGAAGCCTCATAGGAGGAGATCAGGGTTCAAGGGCAGCTCTCCTGAGCAGATTCGTACCATTGTTCTGAAGAGAGTTAGTGAGTGTAAGAGTGGTTAATCATTATTGAGAGTGAGCTGGTCATAAGAGCAAGTTTGGCCTCTCTTGCTCTCCTGCTTTCCCATCTTCTGCTGTTAGTGGTACAGCAGAGGCTACAACCAGATCTGCACCAATGTCCATGCCATGCCTTTGCATTTCCCAGCCTTAGGAACCATAAGCCAAATAAATTTCAAAAAAAGAATACAAAGTAGTATTAGACCAGAAAAATTACAGGCTGGGGAGATAGCTCAGTGGTCTAAGTGTCTGCTTGGCAAATGCAAGGACCTGGGTTCAAACCCCGGTACTGCATGTCATGCTGGCCCTGAAACCCTGGGTATGTTGTGCTAGCCACAGAAACTGGGCATGGTAGCACATGCCTATAATCCCAGATCTGGGGAGGCTGAGACAGGATTACCATGAGTCTGAGCCACGTGATGAAACTATACCAAATAAATAAAAGATTAAAAAAGTTTTTTTAAAAAGAAAAATTACAAATAATACAGAATTTCACAAAACAAAATAATATGAATTACACAGTATCTGTTGTAATGCATAGTGTTGTCTTCAAATTAGTTGTTCATATTACCAGATGCATGCATGTAAAAGTGGGAGAAGAAAGAAAAAATATATAAGAAAGTAAAGAGAAAGAAAAAGGAAAAAGAATTGAATAATGAAGACAAAACAAATTAAGAATTACCTGCTCCTTTCCATAGACCAGCAGAAATGCACAGTACAGTGGTCCAAACCATCCTATTTGCATACATAGATATCTTTGTAAATTACCAGTGTCTCATATTCTGTTACAGCACAAACAGAAACAGTACCTCTGGCTCAGGCCCCAGGGTCAGTGACTCCAAAGATAAGACTCATAATTTCTTATGTCCACCTACACTGTCCCTCCAGAACCTGTCACCCAGTTCCTCTCCTTTTTGGAGCTGTATGGACAGCCCTCTGGACTCCTCAGCAGCACAGCATCCCCACCAGCATCTGTCTCAAATCTGTCCTTCCCTTCCTCTCATATTCTCTCCATCCTTAACAAGGAATCCTTGCTGAATATATAGCTCTCTATCCCTCCCCTCCTGTTTTCATGTACCTGTGTTCCCAGTAGAAGCTCCACCTTCTCTGTTGCCAGGTTTATGTCAAGTTGAATGGCCAAGAATCCAAGGAGCAGGTGGACCTAAAGCTCTTCTTACTCTCCCCTGACTGCCACTCCAAGCTCATCCATAGAGCGGAAATAGACTTTCAAATAAACTCAGTGCTCTCGCTGCTTTTTGCTTTGGGATTCTTTTCTCCTGGAAAGTCAGAATGCTCTATGTAGTATGGGGATGTGATTTCATAGATTATTATAGATATTATCTAGGCACCAATACCAAGATTACTCTCTTTAATTGTCATGGATGGGGGGGCTCTGTTTTAGGAAAAAAGTATCTTTGTACACACAGCCTTATTTAATTTTCCATTCATTCCTGTGAAGCAGATATCTTTCTCATCTTCACTTAGAGAGGTGAAGACTAAATCCCTGAAAACTTTACAATTTGCTCCAGGATAAGTGTTTAGCAAGTATCAATACAGAAATTTGAAACTTGCTCAGTTGAACTTTAAGACCTGCATTCTAACCAGGCAATACCTGCATGAAAAATATTAAGCGTTGTTTAAATCAACAAAAGATAGCATTCATGAACAAAGACTAATTATAGTTATTTTACCTATAGAAGTTAAAGTATCAGAAATGCACATGATACTACTCACAACCAAGAAAAAAAAATATAGAATTTTCCAATACAGATTAAAATAAAAATAGCTTATTTGATATAAAAGATTAACACTATTCTTGACTAGGTGAGAGGTGGAGGATGTTCCATCCAGAAGCCTCTTGTGTCCAGTCTGTCTTTTCCTGAGCTGTTGTGCAGCAAGCTGGCTGAACAGTGAGGAGTTAAGAGAACTGAGTAGCTGGGGTCATGAGAAAAGGAGCTGGACTCAGCCATTTAGCCAGCATTTCCCCCTAACGTCTCCCCTCCCAAGTGAAGTCCAACATTATTTTGTTATTTGTGATAACCTTTGGAATTTTTGCTAACATATCACAGGATTCCACAAATGTTTGTATTTCTGCTCTTAAACATCTAACTAATACTTCAGTCTTGCCACAAACTAGAAAAGATGCTGAATATGCTCTTCTCCAAATTAAAAATATAACCGTGTTTTGCTGTGCTTTACTGCCTTGTGGAAGCCTGAGAACAAAAAACATGTTTCTCTCTCTTCTACCTTATTTCTACCCAAGACAGTTAGAAATAGAGTAAGAGAAGTGGCCTTCTTGGAGGTCAAAGAAGAACAATCTTTCCTAGATCCTGGTTCTTCCCACTTTTTTATTTTGATGTTGGGTGCTTTACTGCAGAAAAAAAAAATCAAATAAACAAGCAAAACAAAACCCTGCTATGTATTTGTGTGTTGCCTCCTCTAACTTCCCAAGCCACTGATGAATTTCTGTGTAGAGTGGAGTCAAGCAAGGCAAGTCCTTTCACAAAGCCCAAGAAAACCTCCAGGAATTCTGAACCAGTAAGCTGTTCCCTAGGCCTCTTTCCTTCCTCACCGATAGAACCCTAACAATAAGCTTTCATTTCATGATCGCTGTCATCATAATAGACTGCATTTACGCTGCAATTTGGAATTTATAAAGTCTTGTTACACCATTGCCTCTTAATCCTCACAAAAGTCCTAAGAAATGAGTCCTAGGATCCCACCTTACAGATGGTGCAGCTAGACCCAGAGTTTGTATAACTGCCTTTAGGGGCAAGAGTGGTCTAATTTCCCTCATAGAACAGACCACAATTTACCTGTTCCAATCACTGGGCTTCTAGATACAGCACATCTCGTTCTCCGACTAGCCTCTTTTTAACTTGCTTTTTTCACATCTAGACCAGTACCACTTCTATTCGCAGTCTGATCTGTATGACTCATCCTCTAATATCCTTTACTCCTTGCTTGTAATAGAATTCCTATAATTCACTGGGGTTGCAGCCACTAAAAAACTCCCAGCCTTCTTTCCTTCTGAGCATGATCATGTGGGTCGATTCTGCCCAATAGGATGAGAGTGAGAATGCTGAGTTTAATTTCTGAGTTATTCCTTAAAGGAAGGGGTGCATGTACCTTGTCATCTACTGTAGGGTATGGATGTGGCAGTGAGCCATTTTGGACCATTTGGATGAGGACACAAGGAGATGGAAGGACAATAGATGAGAAGGACCTGGCATCTCTGTCTCAAGAAGAGACTTACATTGTTTTTATCCAGAGAGTCACTGAGGAAAATATAATGTACACTTGTTAGAATCACTGTTATTTTGACTTTCTGGATGAGTAGGGTTATATCCTAGTTATATATCACCCTAAAAAACACATGTAATTAAAGGAGCTGCCCCCCCAAAAGATGGGACCATTGTTTACTAAATTTACCTTTCACTCATCTTGATGAAATTACATCAAATGACTCTCAAGTTCCATCTCTGACTGCTTTTGGACCTCATTTCTACTCCTTTACATGCTACTTTTTTCTTCTACTAGGAATCCAGATCAGTCTGTCTTGGAAATGAAGCTAGAGGTTGTCCTATTCTCTATTGCAGATGAGCCCAGCTTGGGGAAGGCATGAGGCGAGCAAAATACTGCACTAGAAGCCAGGCGATCCAGGTCTGATTGCATACTAGCTGTGGCTGTGGTGGTGCCACCCAGTCTCCGGCCCAAGGTTCAGTACTAAAAGCCTTTCATTCTTCTTCAGTAATTGTCATCGGAAGGGACCCAAGGTGGACTCAGGTTCACAGCTGACTACAAGTTCCCCTTTGCCTCAGAGACTGCTGAGGATGCCTAGCAACCCTTGCTAGAAGGTCCTGTAACATATGAATGTAACATCTTCCAATCGTCCTTCTTCCAATGGCCTTCAGAAAGGCTGTGCCCAACAGAGTAGAATCATGTGTGGGGATTTCTGGGTTTTGGTCACAGATAGGTAGAAGGCATTTTCCAAGGCTTTGCAGCAGAGGCAGAATTAGATTTAGGGGCTGGAAAAAATGGATTTGTCCTGAGTGTTACAGGAAAATTAGCATCTTTGATGCTTGTCTACTAAAATGACAACATCTATTTCTCTAGCCTCCTGGGAGATCAAGTATCTTCAGTGAGGAACCCTTCCTCGTCTACCCCATCATTTTACAGTGAAAGAGGGAGTCATAGAAGCTCACCCTTACTCTGAATGAGGATGAGATGCAAGTATTCTGATTCCTAGGTAGGTTTTCTCTCTCTACACCTGGCTAAGGCGCAAACCAAGTCACTGTTCTGGGGCAACAGACTAGCAGGTTCCAAAGCACAGTGATGGTGCCTCTTTTCCCTCTCTAGGCAAAACGATCTACTGAGATGCCAGAGGAAAATAGGACATTCTATGTCTGTTTTATCTCCTCCTCTAAAATTCTGTGGGACCTTATAATGCAGATAATATTTTACCATAGTAGTATATGTATAATTTATAAATACATAAATATACATATATTGGTATGCATTCAAATGTGTTTCAATTGACGGTGTGAAGGATCAAAAAGTGTGGAAATTACCAGTCTAAGCATCCTTTTAATTTTCATATTTACTTACTCTGTTTTACTATTTTGTTTTCTATGAAGAAATCTGTCAAATATTCTTATAAGACAAAAGATAAGGTGAAACACTAACTGAAAGAGAAGCATCTAGAAGGCAGATTTGCAAACAAAGCACTGGAATTACCAGCCAGATTATTTTGCTCAATTTATTATTTTAATCAAATGAGCCATTTTTCTTTTTCTTTTTTTGCAATACCAGGGATTGAACACAGAATCCTG